AATGGGACTGATACTTAACATTCAGAAGACTACAGTCCTCCATCAACATCAACATCCTCATCTTAATGAGCAGACCCTAGCTCTGGTAATTCAAATTTACAGTGAGATTGGAGAATGCTGAGTATTTCCCAAACAGCAAAAGCCATCTCCTGCAGAAGGCTGACATTGAAGAAGAAATCCAACGACACCTTAAAAGTGCAAGTGCAGCCTTTGGACACCTGGGGAAATGGATGTTCAAAGATTGCAACATCAGATCCAAAAACCAAGATCATGGTTTATCAAGCAGCTGTGATCCCTACTTTACGAAGCTGAGATATGGACAATATACAGGAGACACCTCAAGTCACTGGAAAAGTATCATCAGTGGTGCCTGAAGAAGATCCTTCAAAACCAGTGGGAAGACAGACACACCAACATTAACATCCTCTTGCAAGCAAACACCATGAGCATCAAAGCAATGGTCATCCAACATCAACTTCACTGGGCCAGCCATGTCATCCAGATGTCCAACTCCAGACTTTCAAGGCAAATTTTATTCCCACAGCTCAGTCAAGGCATATGTTCCAGAGGAGGGCAGAGAAGGTGCTTCAAAGATGTCCTCATGGCCAATTTGAAAAAAAAGTAACACTGACATCAACCCATAGGAGACTATCACCCAGGACTGTCTCAAATGGAAGAGTCTGCTGGAATGATCTTAGTATTTTGAAACTTTATGACAATAACAGAAGACAAAAGCAGGAGCGGCAGAAACAGCGTATTGCAAACTAAATCAAGAATCCAGAGCCACCACTCCACTCAAAAAACACATGCCCAAGTTGCAACAGTCTGTCAATCCTGAATCAGCCTAGTCAGTCACAGATAAAGCAACCATAGAAGACAATCATCCTCAGCCACAAGGGGTTGCTGATATATATTCCCTTCCCTCCGCGCATCTAAATCTCTGGGATTAACAGAGGACATTCAGGGCTTCCCAAAGAAGCATGGTTCCCAGTCTCTGGGTTTTGGTAAGCATGGCAGCCATAGATGCCCCATAGATGAGGGGACCCTCATCACTGTCCACCCCCAGTTCCAAAGTGTGGATGCCAGCTCATGGGACTTGAGCCACTCCAGCAGCACACACAGGGCATACAGAGCAACCTAGGAAGGATCTGTTCTGTGCTTCGTGGGCCTGAAGACAATGGATCAGGCAGTCTGCCACATAGGCTTGGTGGGGGTGGGTGTTTCAGCAAACAATGTCCCTAAAGCTAGCTTCTTTCACAAATGTCATGAAATTTAAAGAGATCACTGAATCCTAATAGGAAGAAGCTACTGAGCTCATTATACTACAAGGTGGCAAGTTATGCTTAACCTTCTCTTCCACCATGACTGCAAGATTTACTGCCTAAATCTTTCATATATGAATCCTAGACCACACAGAATGTGGTCTTGGAGACAGATGTCCCATTTCTCTGTGCAGAAAAGGGCCTGTAAGATGGTTGCTAACCACTTGCCATTCAGGATTGTAGGGAAGGGGGAAGTGGACTGAACAGTACCCAACCCAGAATATATTAGAAACAGTGATGCACTTCTTTATTCAAGAGCTTCTGTCAAATGAAGTGTTCTTGCTGAGAAGGATATGCTTGTTCATACCTTGTACATAGACCTATTTTGTGTCACATCCCATTTTAAAAATGTGGATTATACAAGAATAACACCAAACCCTAATGCAGTATTTTAATCATCAAATATTGGCAAATCATATCCTACTTCTGGGGGTTGGGGTAGAGTTAGGATTAAAGGTTGGGGGAGGGGCGGTAAGGGTGGGGTAGACCTATCTGTTTTACCAGCTTGATTCAAATGCAGAATTCCCTAGTGAGACGTCTATGCAGGGCTTCACACTGGTAGTGCTAGCAACAGCTGTCTGGATTTTCTTTAACACAGAAGGTTACTAATCAGCATCCACTAGATGCTGGGGCTTTAAAGAAAAACCCCCAAGTACATAAAAACTCAGGATAAAAGAAAATGTGCTTGCTGTCACAGCAGTAGAGAGAAGTTTGAAGGCATGAGCCCAAGTGCTTCCTGAAGACCACAAAACAAACACCAAAAGGATTTTTTTTTAACTTTATGAGTTATATGACAGTCACTTTTAATGTGGAGGTCATAATCACTATTTTTGACTGATTGAACAATCATGAACTTTGTATGAGGCTTAAGTCAGAAGCCATGTGCCTGTTGACTCCACTGGTCCTTCCATTAACCTCTACAAAATAAAAAATTAAAATAAAGCTCAGGCATCTGGGCCATAATAGCAACAAAAACTATTGATCTAGACTGAATTATTTTCCACTGCTCAGTGGTTATAGTCCACGTTTACAGCATTCCAGTTGAAAAAGGGGTAATAAATTTTAAGTCATATTTTTTCTTCTGTAGGATATTCAATCTCTACATCACTATGCTCCTTCCAAGAAGAGCACTGGGCAAACCTTCTAGCAGGGCCAGACACAGGCATGGGCAAACTGGGCAGCCACCTGGAGCCTGGACAGAAAGGGAGCCCCAAAATGGTAATTTTTTAATTCAATTATCATTATTATTTTCATTATCTCTGGTGAAGGGGGGACCAATACTAAAAGTTTGCCCGGGGCTGCCAGGAGTCTAGGTATGGCGCTGCCTTATAACTGAAGGTATCAGTTATAAGATCAAGTAAATATTATGAGAAAAGGACAACACATAGTAGTGGTGGAAAGAGATTAGATTTCTTCTCCCACCTCACTGAGAAAGTCATTGCCTTGTCACCCCAGCTGTGCCTGCATCAGAGCTGGGAGTGGGGGCTCTGCCCTGCCACTGCTTGCCCAGCCAGTGCAGGGAGGCACAGGATGCAGGCATGGCAGCACTGGGAGTGGGGGCTATGCCCTGCTGCCACTTGCCCCCTTCCACCCAGAGCAAGCTGTGCCCACATCCCGCCCCCCCTCCAGCTAAGTAAGAGGCCGCAGGGCAGAGCCCCCACTCCGAGTGCTGCCACACCCACATCCCGTACCCTGCTCTCCAAGTAATTCACTCCGTCAGCTGGACAGCTTGTCCCAGCCTCAATCCCTCCCTCCCCCAACTGACTTACCAGCTGGAGGCAGCTGTGTCAGCTGGCTGTTTAGCCTATGGCCAAATCTCTGAAGTGGTGCCGAATCTTTTGGATCTGATTCAGCTGAATCCAATTGGGAAAGTGATTCGAATCTCCAACAGGCACTGTCTTCTGAATCAGCTGAATCCAAATCTGAAGCAAATACTTACCACTTTGCACAGGCCTATTCTTTGCACTGCTGTAGTAGCTTATAAACATTGTAAGCTTACTAAATAAGCTGTCGAGGAGGGTCAGAAACTTAGATCTGAGAAGATTTGAGTCCATCTCCAATTTTAACAGGAGCGTGGTGGCAGTAAGCTGGGAGCTCCCCCAGATGCCACTGGTGCTGTCGGCGGGGGGCGGGTGGCGAGCGGCAACAGCCCACAGGCATGTCGGCAGTGCCTTTTCATAGGGGGTGCACTACCACTCACCAAGGGTGCGCATGCACCCACTACGCATCACCAGTGAAGTGAGCTCAGACTCATGAAAGCCTGTGCTATACATTTCTGATTTAGTTAATCTATAAGGTGCAAATCTACTTTGCCTTCTGCCTAAGATAATTAGTCATTGTACTAACCTGACAATACAGGCACAGAAGGAGATAATCCCATTATGCATAAAAGGGGGTAAAGGGCTAAGAAACCCTCTTGGTTGAACTAGGAAGTCCAGGAAAGCTTAAGGGCAAAGGAAGGGGTATACAGCCTGTGGAAACAGGGGGTAGCTACGAAGGAGGAGTATACCTCCCTAGTTTGCACTTGGAGGGAATCAGTTAGGAAGACCAAAGCAGGATTAGAATTTAGACTGGCGACAAAAATTAAGGACAACAAAAAGTCCTTCTTTAGGCATATAGGGAACAAAAGGAAGGCGCAGGGTAGCGTAGGACCCCTACAGGACAAATTTGGGCAATTGGTGACAAAGGGGGGGATGAAGTTGAGCTCATCAATGAGTTCTTTGCATCTGTATTCCTAGACACAGACCAGGACAAATCTCCCAATTGGATCACAGATAGACACAGGAGGGACACCAGCCCACCAACTGTTAGTGCAGACTTAGTCAAGGGGCACTTGGAGAGGCTGGCTGTGTTCAGATCAGCGAGCCCAGATGAACTTTATCCAAGGGTGCTGAAGGAATTGGCCGGTGTCATAGCAGAGCTGCTAGTATGGCTATTCGAGTACTCATGGTGCTCCGGTCAGGTCCCAGAGGACTGGAAAAGGGCCAGTGTGGTCCCTATTTTTAAGGGGAGGAGGGAGGAACCAGGAAACTATAGGCCAGTTAGTCTCACCTCTATCCATGGGAAAACTCTGGAAAATATCATTAAGGATCACATTTGTGGGAGCCCAGCAGGGGAAATAATACTGACAGGAAATCAGCATGGGTTCACTGCAGGTAGATCCTGCATGACTAACCTTGTTTCTTTTTATAACCAGGTCACAAAATGCTTAGATGCAGGAGTCAAGGTAGATGTCATCTACCTAGACTTTATGAAGGCCTTGGATACGGTATTGAATTCTGTTCTCATAAATAAACTGACAGGCTATGATGTAGATGATTACATGGTCAGGTTGGTGGCAAATTGGCTTAGGAATTGCACCCAGAGAGTGGTGGTGGATGGGTCAATATCAACCTGAAAAGATGTGGGCTGTGGAGTCCCACAAGGCTCAGTCTTTGGACTGGTGTTATTCAACATCTTTATCAGTGACTTGGATGAGGGCATGGAGAGAACCATGTCCAAGTCCGCAGATGATACCAAATTATGGGGCTAAGTTAACACACCAGAGGGTAGGGAATGGATCCAGGTGGATCTAGTCAGCTTGGGAAAATGGGCAGAATGAAATAGGATGGAGTTCAAAGACAAGTGCAAAGTGCTGACCTGGGCAAAAAGAACCACCAACACACTTACAGGCTGAGCAGCGGAAAGGGAACTTGGAGTCATAGCTGACTCCAAGATGAACGAGTCGTCAACGTGACGAAGTAAGCAACAGAAGCCTGCAGGCAAGGCCCCACGAGGAGAGACTGAGGGACCTAGATCTCATCAGCCTTTGAAAGAGAAGGCTCAGAGCTGATCTTGTGGCTTCCTATAAATTCATCATGGGAAGACAGCAGGGAATAGGAGATGCTCTGTGGCAGGAAGCCATCTTTGTTTCTCCCCAAAAATCTCTGCTCTGTGACAATTTGATTAGGATGGGCCCAGCAGAGGAGACACCTTTACCCTATCTCTTTAGGTAACCTGAGCTGGATACATTCCTGAGGGGAGGGGGAAACCTGCTCCCTCTGCCTACGTGACTGGTATCACCTACCTGGGTGAGGGGCTTCTACCTGGTGGGCTAGAGTCTGCCTGGCAACTAGTGATGCATTTCAAATTGGTTGGCCAACAGCCAGCAGGTGCTGGCCTCTATTGGACCAGGTGAATGAAGTCACAGGGGCTATATAAGTTAAAACTGCCTAGGAGGAGGGGGCAGCAGCCATGTGGGGGACTCAGACTTAGAGAGGAGCTTTACCATCTGAAACTGGCTCTCTCCCCCATAACTCATGAGCTAGGAATGGCCTGCCTCCAGAGGGAATCTCCAACAGCCTCTGGATGATGCTTGTGAGTAAGCTACTCGAGATCTGGTTAGCTATATAGCTGGCAGTAACTCAGATACATGATCAAAAGGCTACCTCAGCCGAACTGTTTTGCTCTATGCGATTTCTATGATATTGCTCCATCTTGGACCCTATTTTCACCCTACCCCCTGTAATCAATAAAGTCCTCCTTTGTGACCCGTGTAGGAGACTTATGGAGAGGTGGGTCTAAATTATGCCTAAGAGGCCCCTTGGGTCTGTGGACTAAGGGAGACTAATTTTGGCCCCTGACTTGGGGAAGTGCCCCAAGTTCTTGTACTGGGTCGAGTACCCATTAGACTAGTAGGCCTGTGCTTCCCCGAGGACACAGAGCTTAAGAGGGTCCCCCTCAGGGTGGTGGCAACTTACGTTACCCCCAGACTCTGCGGTGGGGCTCGAAAGGGGGTCTGCCAGGGCTTAGGCACCCCT